TACCGTCACATCAGTCTACTTCTGAAACGTACTCATATGTTTCTATCCTGTTAAAATATTTTAGCAGGAGTTTCCACACTCTTTACTATTGACTACATATCAGTTCCTCTTCAGTTAAAAGAAGACTGTAATATCTACGTATAGGGCCATATGGCTATTAAATAAGACTGTGTCTGTGAAGCTCTTAGTAAATAGTTTAAAACTCTATAAATGGTAGTAATTATTGTTGTTGTCAGCATCATCATGATTATCACCCGAAGCATTTTGACTTGTTAACTCAATTTGTCCTTCTTTGGCACTCACATAATTGGCATCCTTTGTAACCTACACGGTGGTTAGTTTATGAAAGGAAAATAATGAAGATTTTTGGATTCAATCTTAGCAGAGTTGGTGCCTACAGTCCCACAGTAACAAAACTTTGAGCAATATAATTTTGAAACTCATTGTAAGGTACATGTGTAATTTCTCATTTCATAAGACGGTATTGCATTTCCTCTTGACATTTTCATGTGCTTTTGAATTTTCATACGTATCTATATTTATGTTCACACAATGAAAAACGAAATGCAAAACTATACCCAGAAATATAAACCCGTGTGTGGAAAAAAGAGCTGGACTTTACACTGCGTGAGATTGAGCTGGTTTTGAATTCTAGCTCAGCCAATGAAGACCTTGTCCAAGTAAATAATATGTGTGAGTTTTAATCTCCTTGCCTGTAGAGCTAGAATCATAACATCTAGTACATGTACGGGTTGATGAGGATTAGATCAAGTCACACTTGCAGAGGGCTTTGCAGATGGATAACAGACCCACAGGTGGCATTGAATGAATGTTTGTTACTATTAACACCAGACCATTCCTCTGCCTTCCCTGAGCAGCGGCCTGCAGGGTAGTAGTTTTCTAATGAGATCCAGGAACCCAGTGACAGATAAAACTATTTTAAGAGGCTATCAGGGCTGAGCCATCTAGTATTTTAATTGGCACACAAAATACCCCATCTTATTGTTAATTACAAATTAGATAAGAATCTAAAAATGTGCCTACTCTGTTGATCGTGTTCTGATTTCTGCATAACTCTTCTATGATTATGTAACTTGTGCTGAGCAAGGGAGAAAAGCATCCGAGTTATGTTCCCAGATGATAGCGTTTAGTGTGCCTCTTAGCTTGAAGGTGCCTATCACAGTCAGTGCTGTATTTTATCATACTCCTTTCGCACTTCCCCTCATTCCTTGAAGGGCTTTAAAGAAGGGTTATCAAAAGCAAGGCTTATGAGTGACAATAGAGATACCAACTCTCAAAAAGAGGTGGTTTCCCAATGACCTGTCCTCTGTGAGCTTGGTCTGTGAGACAGAATGTGTCTCTGTGCCAGGAACGGGGATGGCCCGTTCTGCATCCCAGGCCTCCCCACAGGCAGCTGCTCAGAGCAAGGCCACGCAGGCTCAGGGACCTAGTTTCCTGGCGTCATCCAGAAAACGACCCCAGAACCCCCCCACTGATCGATATAGATCTACCATCTGTTTCTTAAGTTTGACAATTGCATGAAAAATGTTTTGCACAGTCGAATGGGAAAAGACATGACCTCTTGTCAAGTTCATATTCAGTTTGCTATTCCCCTGTTGATTAGCTGATTCCAAAATGTCAAAAGAAAACACCTTAGGCTTGTGTTGACCCCATGTTGAAACAGTCACTGTGCTGAAACCCCAAAAGCATGGCCCCTAAAGGCCTTGTCGGGTTCACTACCAACCAGGGCACACAGATAGCACATTCACACTCCGTGTGTTGAATTTAAACTGGCGGGACTGAATTGAGTTTTATTAAAACAACAACAGTTACAAGTCCTTCAGCAACATTTGGGGAGTGGGCATCTAGTGGTCCAGGTAAAAATTACTCAAGTCTGGGCTAGTTTTCATTTCAAACATTTGATTTACTGATTTTTAAACTGAATGTGCACATTTTAATCCCAGATAGCACCTATAGCTAGAGGTATAGTCTAAAGTAAGAATGATATTTTGGTCATTGGCACAGTTCTGAAAATAATGCTTCCAATATTCCCTAGTTATCCTTTCAAATGAAATCAGCATTTATAACAGAGATTCCCCCACTCATTCCAGGAACGTAACTTCTGGTCTGATAAAGCTATACATTAAGAAATGATATGTCTGCCTTTCTTTTGTAACAATAAAATCTTCTAGGGAAAATGGACTCTAAGTTTGTTTTCAAATCACCAATTCACTCATGTACTTTCATAACTTATACTTAATTTACAGAGACAGAAAAATATTTTTATGTCTGATATACTATAAAGGAAATTCCATTCTTGACACAACATGACATTTCATAACATGAAACAAAGAGCAAATTCAGGCTGAGAATTCTTATGGGAAATCTTATGAAGAGCTTATAGATTTATAATTTTTTGCATTATTTTGTCTTTTTATGATAATTTAATCCAATTTATCCTAGTCAGGCTAAAATTAGATACATTCTTATTGTTAATGAGATATTATCAACGGCATATGCTTTTGAAAAGAATAAAAGAAGTAAACATAAACTCGAACCACTAAGTGGCAAGAAAGCTTTGGAATATTTTTTCTATAATAAATATATTTTTCATAATCTATCACTTCCCTCAACAAAACCGCATTTTCTTTAAAATTCAGGCTTTTTTCTCATCAAAATTAATTCCATATTGAAAAAAACACAATTACTACTTTTATAAACTGACTAGAATTGGGAAACATTTAAAATGTTTCAGGAATGACTACAAAATTTGTTAGTCATTTTTTATTTCAAAATTCTTGAAATCAGGCCTTTAAATCAAAGAGTTATTTTAGTTAGGTGAAGTTCACATGCTATTTGACTGTTAGTAACTTTTATAAAGGATTATGTAAACTTATAAGGGCAATAATCGATCTGCAAAAGTGGATTGGGAATTCTACTAGAATAGTTTTACAGCATATAGTATGATAAAATTTTTTTTTGTAAATTAAATACAGACATTTTGGTGTATGAAATAGATACCTCATTATATTAATATAAACTATTAACTCATTAACTTTTAACATTATTATCCATCTAACTCATATGTTTCTGTTACATAAAGTATAATGAATCTATTATATTTGTAATAAAAAATCAATATAGATTGTGAGTTTTTGAGAAGACTTTATTTTAAATTACATTTTATCTGTGATTTTCTGCTATTTGCTTTTGATATAAGGATTGGAAGAAAATGAAAAAGAACTTAGATTATCTTTTTAGGGCAAGGATCATGTTGTACCATGTCCTCAATTTGTAGATACTTAAATAATATGCTTACACATTCATAATAAATTGGAATAGCTTTCCTTTGATTATCTTAGAACATGTAGATAAGACTAGTAACATCTTTTAAAAACAAAGAATATAAAATAGGAAAATGAGCAAACACTTAGAATTTCCCTCCAATGGTAGAAATAGTAGCAGCAATAATGATGACAAGAGCCAATATTTATTAATCCCTTACTATACGCTGTTATTATTCTGAGGTACTCGGGTAAATAAGACTTCCTCCTACATAGCATCATGTGACTCTCTGCACATTCTTTGACTAATATTCCTAATTTCCCTCCCTTGTTGCTCTTCATATCTCTTCCAATCATTATCTCTTCAAGATCACGCTGCCTCTAACATATGTCCTGTGAGAGTCTAAGCAGTATATTAAAATTACCACGGACTGGGGTACCAGGGGCCACACAGACAAAGTTCAAATCCAAGCTCTGCCTCTTATGACTACTTGAACTAAGCCCTGGCAGTGGTATTTGCCTTCTTCTCTGAAAGTCGGTTGGATAAATAATATCCATCCTGTGGTATGGGGAAGACTAGGTATGTGTTATGTGAAGGACCAGCTACAGAGTAGGCACTCAAAATAACAGGCATCTATTGTTGCTGCCAGGGATATAAATTTGAAGTAGGAAATGACCACTTACAGAAAGACTTCTGCAAGTATCCACTGAAAGTTTCTACAAGGAATTACGTATTCACACCTATGATGTATGTTCAGCTACACACATTGCGCAGAGAGAGGGTAAGTGCAATGTGGATGGCGAGAAGCCGCCGTGCTGAAGATACTGCGGACTAGAAAGCACACGACTAGAGGGTATCGATCTCTGAGCTCCAGTGTCAGTGTGAAAATTAGATAACACATTGTTAGTGATGATACTGTCAACCACTCAGCCCTAAAAGGGAAATTAGTTTTAACAATAAAATTCTCTTAAAAATTATTTGCAATTAGCATCTCTGTTCAAGAAAGAGCATAAACATTCAATTTGTATGGAAGACCAATCCAAATTCAGAGACGTTCTGAGAAATAACTGACCAGTAACTCTTTAAAAGTTTCAAGGTCATGAAAAATAAGGAAAGATTAGAAAGCTGTCACGAGTCCTGGGAGACTAAAGAGATATGATAAATAAATGCAACATGGTATCTAGGATTGGATGCTGCAGCAGAAAAAGACATTGGTGGGAAAACAAGTGAAATCAAAATAAGGCTGCAGTTTAAGCTAACAGCACTGTACCAATGGTTACTTCTCAGTTTTAATTATTAGTTAATGTTAGAAGAAGCTGAGTAAAGAGTAAATGGGAACTCTCTAGTCTCTGCCACTTTTCTGTAAATCTAAAATTATTCCCAAATTAAAGGCTTATTTTTTAAATGTTTGTAAATAGTTCAGAGAAAAATGAAGCAACTTTTCTTTCATTTTTAAATGGAATTATTTTTGAGATCGGCCCTTTCCTAGCACATCTGATAAATGTTTGCAATCACAGCTTGGTCATTACACAGTCAGAATGCAGATGTAGACGATTACTGTTACTAAAAAGACAGTGTTATCTATCCTGGCCTGTTGAAGGAATCCTGCAATTTCACAACTGAAAGATATAATAAAGCTACCTACCTATGTACCTAACGCTTGAAACTGCTTTATAAATTCCCCATTCACTCGCTGTGAGTTTGTTCTTAAATGCCTTTATTGGAGATGCTCTCAGGACTCTCCATGGCTGGACAGCATCCGTTATCTAACTGAAGCAAAAGCATCAGATGCTGCTCGAAGTGCTCCTGAAAAGCCGACATGGTCTCTGAGCCAAAGAGGCAGCGTCACTTCTACTGCACGTGAGAAATAAGCAAATGCAAGTAAAAAAAAAAAAAAAAATCTTTACTTTAAAAAGATAAATCTGGATTAAGTCAAAACACATAAAATAATTTGTTCAAAAAACTTTTCGATTGTTACTGTATGGTGTACCAAATGGACACACAAAAGTCTACTAATAAATTAAAGTGTCTTTATTTTAGGGTTTTTAGCCTCTAGATGCAAACATAATTCACCCATATGGCAAAAATTATTTAATTAAAAAATTTTTGAGGGAGAACTATATTATTAACACCTCATGATTTCAAATTCTTAAATCTGGGTTTGCTTTTTAAAATATATGAGCAAAATTTTTTAAAAAATCACAAACCAAAAGGCTTATTCTGCATTTCTTGGGAAATTCTGTTTTACTCTGAGAGTGTATTATTCTTTAGTCTTTCATCATAACTTGTTTATTTTCCTAAGAAATTGTTTTCCTTAGTATCACTGGAGGAGAAATAAAAATGAACTCATTTTTCTGAATAACAGACTCAGGGTGGGGCTATATACCTCAGTAATGGAAATAACCAAAACAATGTCCTTTCTTTATTTAAAATAAACACTTTCCTCTTCATTTACTCAATAAATACTTTCAAATGCCCATTATGTATAAGATACTATGTTTGATGCTGAAAATACACAGTCCTTGGCTACAACAACTTGTAGCCAAACAGAGAAAGCAAATCACATAGGCATGGTCATCATAATGGAAGACACGCACGTGTCACTTACGTATCAAGCATTGTGCTAGGGTATATGTACATATATGCTATATATATTAGCTCCATTGATCACTGTAATCACATGAGATATGTATAATCATTATCGTTACTCTAGAGAAAGCACAATAGGCACAATAAATGACTTGTCTGAGAACATTCAGCTTATGAGTAGCAGAGATGGGATTTGAATCCACACAGTATAGCTCAAAGTTAATTAATTTAATCATCAGACTGTAACCACATCACAATGTGCTAAGTGCTATGTACAACTGCCTACATTTTATGGAAGCAGGGAGGAAGAGTGTTTCACTCATTCTTGGGGTAATAATGGAAGACTTCCTGAAAAAATTAATGTCTACATTAAGAAGGACATGCAGGAGTTAAGCAGGAAGGGAAGATGAGTCTTTGAGAAGACAACAATATGGCCCAAAGTTGAAAATCTTGAACATTTCCGAAAGTAAAAGTTGTTCTTTCTGGCTGGAAAAACAAGATGTAAGGTAGAAAGCTGCCAGACATGTTTCTGGAAGGGAAATGTGAACCTGTTGATGAAGGGCCTTCTATTATAAACCAAGAAGTTTGAACATTGTCCTCAGGCAGCAAGAATTATCACAGAGCTTTCAGCAGGTGAGGAACCCGTCTGTGGCATGCAGAGTGGAATTTAGGAAGGCGGCATTGGAGATGAGGCTATGTATCAGCAGGCTCTAAAATGCTGCCAAAATGGTTTCAGCTACAACTAACAGAAAATAAAAACAAATGAAGCACTAAGGAATTTATTATCTCATGAAACAGGATTAATTCAAATGTTTAATAATGATATCAGGGCCCAGATTCCTTCCATATTTTTGCTCTGACATCCACAGGGTATGGGCCCAACTGTGCTCATGGTCCCAAAATGACAGAGCGCCACCTTCTCATAAAATACAAACCGGAGACAGGAGAGGGATTTGTCCTCCTTTTGTCTCTTTTTAAGACTGAGGGAAAAGCTTCCCTAAAACCCTGCATGTTTCCTTAGTGTGAATGGCATCACTTCCAAAGTGAATACCGTCACCATGAAATCACTCCGGCCAATTAGTACCTAACTTTAGGTCGTGAGGAAACAGCAAGACCAAACTGAACCATAAATTACGTGGAAAAGCATAAATAGCTAAACAATTAAACAAATACAAAATATATTTTTTTAAATGAAAGTCTCAAAAGCAAGAAAAAAACATAGATGTATGGATGATGACAATCTCAGAAGCTACTGCAGAAATGCAAGTGGCCCAAATCCAAGTTGTGCCAATGGAAGGAGAGAGAAGTGAGAATTTTAACAGATACGAAGAATGAAGACCTAACAGTGTGTACTTTATGACTGAATGCTGAGTTAAGGGAAAAGGAAAAATTCAGAATATGTCCTCGATTATTGGCTTGGGCAAGTGTGTGGAAGCTGATAGAATTCATTGATACAGGAAATGTGAGAGCAAGGTAGGTTAAGGGAAGATTTTGAGATCATTTTTGGGAATGTTGAGTGCACCACTGGGGTGCCAGCTGGAGGTGTCTGGTACATAGTTGGAGAAACGGATCATTAATACAGGAGAGACGGCAGCGCCGGAGATACAGATGTAGACGTCATAAACTTACAGAAAGTAAGTTATGCAATGGGAGTAGGTGAAGTCACCCCAAAAGATAATGTCGGGTAGAGGAGATGAAGCCCTAGAATGAAATGCATACCAACACCAACATTTAAAGAGCTAGCAGAAAAAGAGGAGACAGAGGGATGAGATAAATAAGAAAACTGGAGGTCATTTCATGTTTCACGAAAATTAGGGAGGAAAGAATTTCAAAAAGAAGGAAGTTGTCAAAAAAGTCAAATGCCTCTGAAAGGTGAAGGGAAGCTAAAGCTCAAACTTGGCCCGTTGAAGTTAGTGTATTAGAAGCTGGGGCGGGAGGTGATATTGGTGTGCGCATGCCCGTATTTCGGTGTGTGCTGGGGGCAGGAGCCAGAGAGCAGTGGGTGGATAAGCAGGAGGGAAGTGAGAGTGTAGACTGTGAGGCTTGAAAAAATCTTTTAAAAATTTTGTCACATGCTTGAAGCTCTGACTCAAGCAAAGACGATATATGTAACCTAGACATTTGTACCCCTGTAATATGCTGAAATAAAAAAAAATGTTTCATGTAAAAAAAAATGTTTGTGAAGCAGGGGAGAGAGCTAAGAGAGTAGTAATTAAGAATTAGAGTGGAGAGAGAGTATTTATTTGTTAATTGCAGTGCCATTATAATTACTTCTCTTAAAATTATGTTTTGACAATAATATAATAGAAGTGATTTTGGAGTCTATGGAAGAAAAGCTTTTGAGTTTAAAAACACAATATAAATATATCTGGGGTATATTATGTACTGAATCTATTAGATAATTTAAAAAAAATGTTTTAAGTCTTCGCTTTTATTTTATTTTATTTTACTTTTTTTTGAGACAGAGTCTCACTCTTTTTGCCTGGGCTAGAGTGCCGTGGCGTCAGCCTAGCTCACAGCAACCTCCAACTCCTGGGCTCAAGCAATCCTACTGCCTCAGCCTCCCGAGTACCTGGGACTACAGGCATGTGCCTCCATGCCCGGCTAATTTTTTCTATGTATTTTTAGTTGTCCGATTAATTTCTTTCTATTTTTAGTAGAGACGGGGTCTCGCTCTTGCTCAGGCTGGTTTCGAACTCCTGAGCTCAAACAATCCACCCGCCTCGGCCTCCCAGAGAGCTAGGATTACAGGCGTGAGCCACCGCACCTGGCCTTTGCTTTTATTTTTAAGTGCTGAATGTGTCCAACACTATTTTGTTCTTTTATTTCTGTATTTCTTCAGTGGTGTTTCATTTTATCACTAATCTTTAAACCTGAAACTTATCAAGTTTCATATTTGGGAAGTCGAATTTAGTTTGCATACCTAATAGGGTCATATAACATTGATAAAAAATTATAAATGTTTCATCATGGGGATTTTAGCTTCAGTGTCTTTCCTGAAAAATGTTAAAGAAAATCAACAATAGGAATATTTATATTCAGTATTTAAGGACAAATTTGTCACGTGGGTGCTAGCCAAGCTATGCCAGGGTATATTTCACTCATGACCCATTTTTACAAAATGTCTGTATCACTATCAAAACTCCCGAGATAAGTATAAAAGTTAATTCAGAGAAGCAGCTAATAATACTTTAAAGCTTCATTTAGCATGAAAAAAAATTGTTCACACAGTTCTGAATTAAGGTGCTCAAAATAAAAATAAAGTTAGTATAAGTTTTTCTTTACTAAAGTTCTGTGGGTGATGCCAAAGAAATAGCTGATTTAAATTCATTCCTTTTACAAATGTGGTTTTTCAGGATGACGAGAATGAGAAGAGAAGTGGGGAAGAAGAGGCTGTAATTTGGAAAAAGAATGACTCCATCCTTCCGTGGACTTTAGAGTTCAAAGACTAGGTAAGCTATTAGTTCAGTTAAAATAAAACCTGATTTTTAAAACTTTCCCAATTTTATCTTTTTGTACAAAAAATACGCTCTTCACTTGCTTGGGGGAGAGAAGGGGACCTGGCGTGGGCAGCAGGACTCCGGGATTAGATCCTGGCTCCGCTTCCACTAGAGTGGGCAGATCCGGGGTCCACCACGTCCCTGGTTTCCACATCTGCGGGATTCAGCAATGGGCTATTTACAGAAGGTTAAAACATAGCATGAAAATGATGTGAGAACTTGAACAATGAAGAGAACTATTTTCCCGATTTAATATTTAAATCTAATTATATATACATATTTTTTTTTCAAAAAAGTAAGTAGTTTTCATGAGTGCATAGCAGATCAGGTAGCGTGGTGGGCCACGTAGTATGAGAAAGGAGGGCAGAGAGCAGAAAAGGAGAGCACTGGGAGCAGGTGGGTGGGTGTGAGCAGCGGAAGAGGCTGGCAGACAACCAATGTGAGCACGACCAGTCAGAGATAAAGAGCCTTGAACAGGAATTTGGCGACAAGGGAAACAACACTAAGTATTAGTCATTTCTAAACATACTCTCAAATCCACCATGGTTTGAACTCTGAAAATGTGTGTTCGTTTTTGTGGTTACTATGCAACCACGAATGTATTTCTCTGTCATCTTTGCCCAGTGTGCTAGCTTTGGGGACTATTTCAACCATGTTACTTGCACAGAAGTCACTCCTTTGAAACTACTGCCATTGGGCTGAATCACCTAAAATCATTCCTTCTGCAGGTCA